TGTGCTTTTGTTTTTTTGAGTTTATTTCAAAGGACACTATTTGTGATCACTATTTCCCAAGTGCTCACCTACTTGAATGTTGGTCAAAAGATCAATGTTGTTTGTTATAACCAGATCCAGACTTTCTAGTTGGTGCTTGTACAAGTTGTGACATGAAGGTGTCATTTAACAAGTTCAAAAACTTAATTCCCTTTGCTGAGCTACTAGTCCCTCTGTTCCAAATTCCCTTGCGACCTGTTTTTTGCACTCCATAGGTTTAAAGGGTAATCCAGATGTGGGTCCCTTGCTCATGGTGCTTAGAGAAATATCAGCTATGCCTCTCTGATGATGCTTAACAAGGCTGAAACGATCGTCTGGGGTTGCTGTGTCTCTCGTGCAGAGGGAACTTGCTGGCATTTTGGATCTGGACTGCCCACATGGGTGCTACCAGTCTGATATGTTTCAGAGATGTTCCCTCTGTAATGGCACAAGATGAGCAAAAGCCAGCTTGAGAACTGAGCAGGGACCCACCGAAGGGCAGGCTATTTCAGCTGCTGCCCATTCTCAGTATTGCGACCTGTTTTTTGCTCTCCTCTTTCCCAGTTTATGTCCGGGTAATTAAAATCTCCAATGATTAACGTGTTACCCAGATTTGTAGCTTTCTCAATTTGCTCAAACAACTGTTGTTCCTCGTCAATATTAACATTAGGTGCTTTATAACATATCCCAACCAATATTTAATTGCCCTTTTGCCCCAAGCAAATATTTACACATAAAGCTTCCACATTTTTCTCATCACATTCCAATTGCTTAAGATTTGGCTTTAACTCATGGTTGGCATACACACATACCCCACCACCTATCCTGTTTTTCTTGTCCTTCCTAAATAGTGTGTACCCATTTAAGTTAACTGCCCAGTCATGTGTCTCATCCCACCATGTTTCAGTTATAAGAAAAAGGTGCTCTGTGCAATTAGGCGCTTAACAATAATATATAAATGGAACAGCAGCTCAAACATGCATGCAGGTATCCCAATCCTACACATACATAGAGCCTAGTACAATTGGCTCTATTCCAGGTGAGCTTATACATAGAGCCTAGTACAATTGGCTCTATTCCAGGTGAGCACATTCATGCACTGTTATATGTGACCACTTGTTTATTTTAAACATACTTGCACTAGGATTTTTGTCCTTTTTTATCCACATATGTTGTGAGCTGTATATCTGGAGAAGGTCTGGTATTACCAAACATACCTCAGCTGTTGTGATTTGAGCCAATCTCCAGGCTCTTTACCATGTGAGTTGGACATACATCTTCTTCCACTCCATTCACACCTTACAAGCATACTGCACCATGATGTGTATTTTCTTGTTGTAGATTTTATTATGCTGTCTGCCCCTTAAAGTGATATATACGTTATTCCAATAGGGGTAAGAATTTGATATTTAGCGCTCCACTGAGTGATCTTTTGGTGGTAGTACGATCCACTAAGTTCACTTTTTTCTTTCACATCATGTTTCAGTTATGCCTATTATGTCATATTGTTTAGTGTATGCTTTTGCCTCTAGTTCCCCCATTTTGTTATATAGGCTCCTTGCATTAGTAAGCATACATTTAATATCATGAGTCACTGGTACTTTTTGTGAATTATCAACATTACATACCTTCTCTGTTCTGAGCTTGCCCCTCCCACCATCTCAACCACCCTTTTACTGAGCTAAAGCCCATCTCCTTTCTGTACTACTAGTTTAAAATGTCCTCCAACCTTCTAGCCATCCTATCCCCCGTACTGCAGACCCTCTCCTGTTTAGGTGCAACCCATCACTGCTATAAAGGTTGTCCTAAAGTGCAAAGTCGGCTCAGTGCTCTAAAAACCTCAAACCCTACTTGCTGCACCAAGACCTCAGCCACACATTGACCTCTCTAATCTTCTGCTGCCTTTCCACTGTAGCACAGGTAATATCTCAGAGAATACCACATTGGAGGTCCTTTTCTTAAGTTTGCTACCTAAGTTTGCTAAACAATGTGCTTTCACACATTCTGCCTAATGTTTTTTAATGTCCTGGTTCTTTTGCGTCCACTGAGAAAAAAATATTCCCAGATTGCTCTTGCAATAATTTAAACAAAAGTTCCACATTTTTATTTATGGTAGTCCTTTTACTGTGATCATGGATTATAACCCACTATTGTCCAATTTGCAACCTCAGAAGTGTATCTCTAACACAATAGCAGCTAGACTTCACATTTACACACTTCAACTTGCAGCATACAACTACTTAATTAAATATTGATGTCACAATGTTCATACTAATGTAAATATGTTTTCAAGATTGCCAATTTCACATCATATGGCCACATCTCAAATATTAAAAACTGTTCATTAGCCATTGAATCTAAATTCCAAGGAGATTGCTACTTTTACATAATCTCATTCTAGGTTACAGAATATTATTTTTTTTGTTCAACATGGGTGGCCTAAAGTAGTTTGCCCTGTCCTTCAGCCATTTTTTTACCAGGAGTAATGAACTTGTGTATGACTCAGGCTTTTTCTTTGGTTCACACATGTTTCCACATTGCTGCAAACTTTAGCACTGGGATCACTACACATCAGGGTATAGTAAAAAATGAAACAAAGAGCACAGGAATATATTTGGTGGGTCATATTGGATACAAATATCTCTTCTTATGTAGGTGTTTGCAATGGATGTGTAGACTCAGCAGAATCCAACCTGTGAGGATATTTATGGGGTGATAAATATTAAAATAACATTTTTATAAACATGATCAAAAGTTAATTTCATTTTAATTTGATTGTTTTAATTAATTTGTATTATATATTGGCACTGTTCCCCTTGATTAATTTAAAGTGACACATTACCCACTATTTTAGCTCTTACAGAACCTGGATGACGTTTTATTAGAAAATTTGTATTTCACACATTAATCACAAACGGATTATAAACATATAATTTATTGTGACAAATAATTAATAATACAATGGGGGTGTGGCCGTCTTCCGACGAGAACGGTCGCATGGCATAGGAACTCTGACTGTCTTCAGCCCGATTAAGCCGATATATATATACCCACAAAACAGATCTTAACATTTGGCAACATTATGCCGCCCTCCAAACAGCTTAAAGTGTCGGATTCGTCCAAAAAAAAAAAAAAGACGGCAACAAAGAATCTCAAGATGGTGACGATCAGACCTCTATATCGGACGGCCAATCCGACCAGGAGTCAGTTTCGTCTAAATATTCAGACTCTTTGGTCACAGACCATAGCCTACATAGCATGCAGCAAGAATTGAGGGCTACTTTAACAGCAGATTTCCACTGCATAGACACAGAAATAAGGAAAGAAATCTCCAACCTAGGCGACAGGACAAGCCATCTGGAGAACAGGACCGAGGAACTATGCACTGCGCACAACAAAGTGGTAGATGAGGTGCAGAAACTAGCCGAGGCAAATGAAGCCCTGAAACGTAAAATGGCGGACGTGGAGGACAGATTGTCCGTATACATGGAATACCGGATGATGTGTCCCACGATGCCCTCCCAGCCTATGTCCTCTA